ATCGGATGTTAGCTCAGGGCTGATCTTCCTCACAAAAATAAATAAATAAATAAAATAATTTACAAAATAAAAGTTGACAAAAAGCAATTCTCAGGGAACTAACCCCTCCCCACCTATTGCTCCCTCTCTGACAAAATATCGTTTATTTTAATACATTAAAATAGACGCTTAAGTCCCATCTCATCTCTTAGTAAGTTCCCATCACCTTTGGCATGGTCTCACAGATTAAATGAAATGAAAATATCCTGGAAAAACTAGCTTCCATTTCTAAAATACGAGTTAATTTTTGTCTGTGAGAAACGTAAGAAAGATGGTCCACAAAAGCATGACTATGAGCTGTCACTGGCAGTAGACAGGACTGGATTTACACCCCTCGGGAGGTGTGGCCCAGCAGCGAGGTGCCTGGGCTCCAGATCCCGAGAGACCCGGGAGCGAATCCTGATTCCACACGGCCATCCCAACGTCCTCCTCTGTGAAACGGGAAGGATGAGCTTTGAAGTGTTGTGAGGAGTAAAGGTGGTAAAGTGCCTGACCAATAGGAACTGCCCAATAAACAGCACCTACAATAATTCTCCCGTTATCCGGTTTTATGTAACTGATATTATTTTTCCAGAGAAAATAACAAGATAACGGGGATGGTAATGCCCAGAGTTGTGACTATTTTTCTAGATTCTGATTTTTTACTGACCAATTTGAGATTTCACATAATGAAATCTGTGAGGAAGATATACTGTAGTTCTGCTTGAGTTTTAACTGAGTTTAACGCAAGGGGATTTAGTTCCTAGAAGTACCAGAAAAATCTTACTACAGCCTAACATGAGGCCTCAGACCTTTGGGCTGAGAGTCATGGATAAATTTGTTTCAGAACACACTTATATTGCTAATGATGCAGCCTAGAAGATTTGCAGCCAGTATGTTGCTGCTAATTTGTCTTCCGTTTAGAGGAAGAGGGTCCTCCACTGATAAATATTCTGTCCCCATAAGTTTTTGAACAGCATTTAAAAGGTTTACCTGCATCTTTTATGGGAAGCAAATAGTTCTCAATTCACTGAAAAAAAATAAAACCACTGTATCACATGAAAAGGGGGAAAATATTTTCTTTCCCCTTTCATTAAAAAAAAACCCCAAACATAACAGTGAATAATGAAAGGAAAACAAATGGATCATTCCATTCCATGGAGGAGGAGCAGAGTAGCTGCAGGGGACAGCTGCAGCACGTCTGGCGTCCCCATTCTTTCCTTTCCCATCACTTTATTACTTACTGGACCAAGAATGTAGACAATTCCGGCTATGGTTGTTTTGTGCTTTAGTTTCTCGACCTCATTCTGTGTTGTGCTCATTTGCCTCTACACTGAGTCCTAAGCTAACAGGGTCACTTCAGTGTGTTGCACAGAGCCACACAGCAAGGGGCTTATTCCTTTCCTAGCTCCACCCCTTCCCATGAGGCCCTTGAAATCTGGGAGGGTGCACTATCTTGGTCAGCTTGGGCTGCTATAACAAACTGCCATAGACTGGGTGGCTTAAACAACGAACATTTATTTCTCATAGTTCTAGAGGCTGGAAGTCCAAAAACAAGGTGCTGGCAGATTCAGTGTCTGGTGGAGAGCCATCTTCCTAGTTTGCAGATGGCCACTTTCTTGCCATATCCTCACATGGTGGAGAGAGCTCTAGTCTCTTCATCTTCTTACAAGAGCCCTAATCTCATCCTGGGGGCTCCACCTTTATGACCTCACCTAAACTGAATAACCTCCCAGAGGCCCCACTTCTTAATACTATCACAGCGCAGATAAGGGCTTCAACACGAATTCTGAGGGGACACAAACATTCACGTGACGCCTTTGTGGGTGTTTATCAAAATCATTGAACCTTTGGTGCCTCTTTCAAGCATTTCTCACTGTGGTTTTGTTGGGTACCAATTGACTGCAGGCTTACACAGCGTCACTGTGTGACCTTCAACAAGCTGCTAGCAACCGTTTGTGTCCCCACACCCCAAATCCGTATGTTGAAGCCCTAGTCCCCACTGTGGTGGTATTTGGAGGTGAATCATTTGTGAGTTTAAGTCTGGATGAGGTCATAAGGGTGGAGCCCCCGTGATGAGATTAGTCCTCTTATAAGAAGAGGAGAGAGAGATCCCTCTTTCTCCAGGAGCAGGCATTTGAGCACACAGTGAGAAAGGAAAGGCCATCCACAAGTCAGGAAGAGAGGCCTCACCAAAACCTGACCATGCTGGCACCTTGATCTTGGACTTCCAGCCTCCGTAACTGTGAGACATAAATGTGTGTAGGTTAAGCCACCTGGTCTACGATGCTTTGCTATAGTGGCACAAGCTGACTGGGACACAAGATGATTTCAATCCTACTAAGATGAAAAGGCACAGGGAGGAAAGAAATAATGAATGTGGTGATTCCTAAGGGGGTGCTTGACTCATTTCTGAAAACAAGTTTTTGAACTTACAGAAAAAACTCTTGGAAGTGAACATTTTCCCTCATAACATTGACTGTTACATATGAGTCTGAAAAAAAAAATCAATTTTGTTCTACAATATAATACAACCACAATTTCCCCAGGATCTTCCTTCAAACCATCACTTTTTTCTTTTTTACAAATTTTCATAGCTTTTGAATTTCCTGATATGCACTACATTTACATAAGAGAATTTTAAGTTTTAGGCAGACACTTAAAAGTGCAGCTTTTAAAAGCATTTTCAGTGTTTTGTTTGTATGTGAAAGAAGTGTGAATCAGCAGCATGTTTTACAATATTTATTACAGTTTTTAATAAAATTTTTAAAGTATTAGTTATTTCCTTCAGCGTGTAGGGGATCTAACAACATAACTATATGGAAGTTCATTAAATGAAGAATCACTATCTAGAATTCTGTATCCCAACAAATGATCCACCTTTCCTTCTGAGAAAGTTGTGTGTTTTCTAGAATTTTGATAAATAATACATTTATCTCACTGCTGGAAATTGTCTCTAATATAGCTGAGATTTCTACATGGTAACAATGGTTTGCTCAGGCTTCATTTGCTCCTTGTGGGCTCGGGCAGTGGTGTACTTATTAATGCAAAACATCATATCCCATTATGTCAGCCACTCATCCTCACTAATGAAACGTGATTTGCCAGTATGGATTAAGTGGCGTCAAGTCGTCCAAAAACGCTCAGCAAAGACATGCTGCTCATTAAATTTATCTAGAACACTCACCCAAACTAGTGCTGCATTTTATGCAGGTGGGAAAACTGAGATTCTGTCCAAAAGTGGAACTAAGAAAATCTTGTGCCAGGAAGAGAATTTGCATCAGAATCTCTTGGGTCCATGTGTCAAAAATGCGCATTCCCTGCCTCCAACCCCAGAGTTTCTGACATAGTAGGAATGGTCTTGAATTGGATCCAGAAATCTGGTTTAACAAGAATCCTGGGTGATTCTGATGTCATTGATCCACTTTGAGAAACATGTTGTAGTTGTGTTAGGTCCTATACTTGGCTTTGAAATCACATACCAAGAAATTGTATTCTGAGCAAGAAGGGGAAAGGCAACTCTGAAGTTGGAGAACATTGCTCTGTTTTCAACTAATTTTCTCTTTCCCCAGGCATTTTAGGTGGCCTCACTTTGGGTCTCCATGGGGCTGGCTTACCAAGTTCTGCATATATTTTTTCATTCTTTTCTCCCTGCCCTTCATCCTACTTTAAGCCTAGATGTTATGGGTGTCATGCCCAAGATGACAGTCAGATGATTGATTAACTATCCATGCTAAAGTGTTATGGCTGCCACCACTTTAATGTGTGCTTCTCCTAGGCATGTGCTCCCTTTAACAAAGGGCTCTAGGAAGTTATGATGTTCACCACAAGGGAGAAATCTCAAACTAATCTTCTAGACGCCCTGGCAGTATAGTGGGGGAGGTAATTTTGGTCTGCCCACCTCAACTCTTGGCGAGCCTCCTTGTAAAATCAACTCGGTTTCTAAGAATGTACAGGATTTCCTTTACAGACTTATGTAGAAGTTGAAGAGGACAAGATTGACCACAAAAGACATTGAGAGTGCCAATTTCTTGTCTTCCGGCTTTGCTGGCTGGTGTTGATAGGATCAAACTGGAAAAAAAATTGGCTAACATTACCCAAATCCACTTGACCCTAGTGTAATACTGACTTGAATCACAAAGCTGGAATAAGAGTTTGCAGTGGGAAATATCTCTTTCCAGAGGGAGGATGTTCAACTCACGAAGGAGTGACCCAGTATCAGCCGTAGGAATTTGGACTCAGAAATCACTGTGCTTTTCTCCCAGTGACCCTGTTCTAACCTTCCTAAAGGCTGGAGCCATACATCTTAATGGTCTAGCAGAGGAAGAGAGGCTACAAGGTGGGTGATGAGGAAGCCTGGGATAAATCTGGACTGATAAAGAGAATCTGGCTTCTGAATCTGACCTTACTACTCATTAGCTGTGTGACCTTGGGCAAGTTACATTAACTCTTTAGCCTCAGTTTACTATGTGTAAAATGGGGAAGTACACTGACACATAGTAAAGTTTCAGTTCCTATTTCTCTTATTATCATATCATTAATATTATTAGGCCTCTTGGAAAATGTTAGAAAGTTAAATTTGATGTTGGCCTACAGCAGTCTCTCTGCTGGGGTAGGAGTAGGAAGAGTGCGAGAATTTCTTCCAAGTCTTTTCTCTCCAAAGAGCATATACACCTTTCTGCATTCATGGGATAGAAGCTAAATTGAGGTATCTGTATTTGACTAATATTAAAAATATTAAGGATGCTGCTTTCAATTTCCACAAAGAGCTCTTAGTATCTGTCTCTATTAGTATTGTGGGTTGAAATAACAATTGGCTGCTGCTACGTACAACCATACCTTCTGTTATCACATCAACATATTTCTATTCATTCATTCAGAAACAATTATTGAGCATCTATAAAGTGCTAGGCACTGACTGGCTAACATGGTTATACAAGATATAGTGGTAAATCAGAGAGACAGATGAAATATTCAAATACCAGACTTTCCATTTTAGCATTCAGGATGGAACGAGAATTGGATCCCCCTTTCTGGAAGCTTACATTTATGTGTCCATTCTGGATAAATCTTGCAGAAAGCTTGACGAGCGCTGTCAGGGACACACAGAGCATGACGAAGCTCAGGCACAGGTCCAAGGCTGGGAGTGTCAGGTGGTACTCCTCATAGTGTGGTGGGTCCTGATGGGAATTTTGCAAATGGAAAAGGAAAGGCAACTGCACAGCCAAGGTAATTGGTCCCTGCAATGCCTGAAAAGGAGCAGAAGCAATAGGGGCCAAGGACAGCAGATTCCAAGGCTACTGCAAAATGAAGAGGACAGCCCATAATGCTTAGAATCACAAAGTGAAACTAGCTTCCCACTGAAAATAAAGCAGAGATAAATTGTTACTTTGGGAAGCAGATTTTTCCAAAGCTTCTTAGCAATATGAAGAAAGAAAGAGATGCCGAGTATTCGTCTCTCCTACTAGGAAATGAAGGAGAAATGGATGACAACCTCCTCTTTAGGCCCTTGTCTTCTTCTGTTGAATCCATTCTCTGGGAGAACAACATGTCAGCCAACTTGGACAAAAACGAAATCAATTCCACTCCAACAAACATTTATTTTTATCTCCTGTAATGTGTTGAGGACCAGTCTGGAGTGGGAAAAACAAAGAAGAATAAACAGAACCCCTGCCTTATCCTAAGACCTTGCTAATCAGGGTGTGGTCCACAGGTCAGGAGCACTAACATCCGCTGGAAGCTTGTTGGAAACGTAGAATCTCAGACCTCACCCAGATCTACTGAATCAGAGTCTGCATTTTAACCAGATCCCCAGGTGATTCACACATACATTAAAGTTTGAGAAGCACTGCTGTTGCCATGGGAACAAGATCTATAATCAGATCAAGGTAGTCTATCTGTATCATGGGATTACTTGGCTCTATACTGTTGAAATGCAAGATATCATAGACTTTTCATCCTTTTTTAGGGGGAGAGGTAACAAGGAGATTGGAAGGAGATCCCAAATTGAGGAGTTGAGACTTGAAAATACATTATTAAAAATAGAGGAGCCTACAGATCCATTTTTTCAAAATGAAATTCGGGAACACTAATACCGGTTCTGTCCTTCCCAAATTATAATACTCAAATACGATAATCACAGAAACTTGTAGAAAATGTTTGGAGCAAGAATCAGATAATAAACATTCATTTAAAACATAGGTTATTACTGAAATCCATCATAGTACAGCATCCATTAGACAGAATTCAATTATAATTGGAAGTCACATTCTCTGTAGTCCATCCTGGCCTAGTGGAGATTTGACCTTCAAACCCACTCTACCATCCTACACGATGTCCGTATATTTACCAGGTATCTCTGGGTCCACTCTTGGTGCCAACAGTAGGAGTATACCGGTCGTGATGGCCTGTGAAAGGACAATGGAAAAATAACATCCATGATAAAACATACCTCAGGGAAGAGTTCAATCTGTCTCACAGTTTGACAACTTTATCGTGAACTAGAAGGAACAGCACATGGCTAAATGGATTTATGACTCTGATCTCCTCCTTATCCATAACGACAATGAGGAAAACAAGCCATCAGTGTCATAAAGACATGATTCAGACAAGCTCATATTTTGATTTTCTGTGTTGCCTTTGCCATCACAATTATAATCCACGCTACTGTAAGGTGTCACTGCAATAAAAAGTTGGCTTTATAACCATTGCCATATGTTTTATTTTGATTAATTGTCTATTGTGCATCTTTCTCACAAATTGCTAAAACTATGAACGGGAGGAACCAGAAAGGAAATGTGTCAGAGAACCTGAAAACCCTCCCAGCAGCAGCATTATCTTTTACTATTTGCTTTCTTTTGAGATTCTGCAGCCCCGGCATGCTGGTGGGATACAAATGCGTGTTTCTCAAGTAACAAAGATTATCATTACAATGAATGCGTGATGGGGCATTTATTGTTCTGGGTGCAGTGGTGTCCAGCTTTTCAAAAGAGAGTTCTTTATAGTCTCCATTGAAGGAAGAAGGCCCAAAGTGCAGAATGAAAATAGCTAAACAAAGGAGGGAATGGTGTTACCAGAATTGAGCAATAGATAACGGAAAAAAAAAATTCTACGCTCATCTTTGCTTCAGCACTGGGTCTGATGAAGGAGACCATTGTGGTCATTGAGCCTGGAAATCGCTTATTCCCAACCCGTAAATCATTTGTTCCCAGTCAAGGAATGTTTTGAGGTTGAGAGAGAAAACCAGGAAGAGATGTGCCTGAAATAAGATATAGAATGAGGACAGGACTAAAAATAGATATAATTTAGGTTTTTGACAGAGAAATAAACATGACTGAATGTATAGCATCAACAAATTTAAGGGGGAAAAAATCAGAGCTTTTACCAATATGGTTTTGTGGTATGCTGCTTTTATAGCTCCGAGTCTGGCATATTTATTGTTTTGAGACCTAGCTTTTCGTTTTCCTGGCATATTTTATTTTGAACGTTGGATTTAGAGAATTTGAGAGAGAGGGGGAAGCACACACACGCACACTCGCACAAAACGTCTCATGTAGCTAAGCCTGAAATTCCAGACTTGGCATCGCCATACCATAAAACTCCCGTGGATAAAAACAGAACCATCTGTAGTCAAAAGAGGTTGGCTTGATTCTGCAAGAGGAAAGTTTCCAAGGGACCCTATGGAGGTTGAGCCAGCACAAATAGCACAACAAAACAGGAGCGTTATTAAGATCAACTGTAACACTGATGCTAAGCGTGGGGCCAGTCTATGCCTTCAGAGGCACGGTGCTCCATTAACACGTCACTCCTCTGTGAGAGAGAAACACTGAAGCGAACGAGATGGAAGCCAAGGATAGCAGCGCCCCTCTGCTGGTTTAACTCCAAGTCTAAGGCTGACATTATCAGATGCTTAGATTCCAGGTTGCCTTAACTACTTTGGCATTTTCCTTTCCTTTCAAAAGTTAAAAAATGCTGCAGAACTGCAGTTGCCTGTTATTTCTGTTGTAACTGCCAGCTTGAATTTTGCTTTGTTTATACAAAACTTTGAAAAAGATCTTTTCATGGAGTGCACTGGTGTACGAATGCCATTCAGTAACTTGTCAAATCTACCCTGGGGACGGTGGCTCAGGAGCCAAGCACACTCACCTTCACGGGTGCCCCCCCACACCAATAGTCACAGCCTTCCCCTTCTCTTCCTGTCATTTCTTTTTTTAAATTTTGTTTTTAGACAAGGAAGGGGGAAAGAATAAAAAAGGAAGAGATTTAAGGAATTCCAGTGGGAAAAGGAAATGGGCCAGAGGGAGTGTCTGAGTGGTGGAAAGTCGGGCACTGCAGGGCAGTCAGGCTGGGAGGCAGGACAGGGAGGATGAGTGCAGAGAGAAGGCTCCGCCCTGCACTTTCCTCCCTCAGCTCTTCTCCACAGGCCACTGACTTGCTCTATGGGCAGTTTGAGGGACACTACTTGGGTTTTGCAACCGTTGCTGCTAACACTCTGCACGATCATTGTGAGCCCTCCCATTAAATCTTTAAATTGCCCAAGTAAAGGATGTGGTTCCCAGAAGCAGATGAATTGAAGGAAGCGGGAGCAGTCACAACAGAAATAGAAACTTTTAGAGGAATCATTTTAATACGGGCTAATTTATTCACTTACAGCATCTATTGTGGGCCTACTAGGAACAAGAGGTGTGATAGGCACTGTGCAGATAGAATAATGATAATAGCAGTTAACTTTTGCTGAGCACTTACTCTATGTCAGGCACTATGGTCATCACTCTACCTGTGTTAACCCATTTACTCCTCATAATGAATGACCCCATGATGTAGATCTTCTCCTGCTTTTTAAATGAGGCCAGAGAGGCTAAATGAGATGAGCAAGCTCACCAAGTAATAATTGTACAAAGAGTGGTTCCGACTCTCCATGGAATTTACAGTCCAGATGTGAAAATATTGCGCTTATCAGAATGTCCAAAAATGTAGGCCAGAAGAGTGAGTGCTTTCTGTGTGAGCAGAGCTCAGTGACAAGATACCACTTCCAGGGGGAATAATCACTGATGAAGTCACCACGGAGGAAACAGGATCCAGAAAGGGTTTGAAGGACGGATGTGATTTCAATGGGAGATGGCAGAGGGAAGTGGCAGTTATGCTTGGGGACCAGTGAGTGAGGGACCCAGACCAGTGGGAGGGTAGTTCTTGGCCAAGAAGAGTAGAAAATCAGGCTTGAAAGCCACTTGAGGCCAGGTTGGGGAGAGCCTCAGAATTTGGGCTAATATATGTGGACTTTGGACAATGAAGCAACACTAAAGAGTTTTTTGTTTTTTTTGAGGGGGCCCTGCGCTAACATCTGTTGCCAATCTTCCTCTTTTTCTTTTTTCTCCCCAAAGCCCCAGTACATAGTTGTGTATCATGGTTGTAGGTACTTCTAGTTCCTCTGTGTGGGACAGTACCTCAGCACGGCTTGATGAGCGGTGAGTAGGTCTGCGCCCAAGATCCCAACCGGCGAACCCCGGGCCGTTGAAGCAGAACATGTGAACTTAACCGCTATGCCACCAGGCCGGCCCCTAAAGGTTTTTGAGGAAGGAGCTAGCCTTACACAGTAGAGGTTTAGAAAAATGAGCCAGTTGTTGCATGCATGCTGGATTGGAATGGAGTGAGGCCTGGAGGTCTCTGTAGGACTTTGGTCTCAAAACTTTTTTCTTTATCTTTATCACAGTAAGAAATATATTTTGCATCATGGTCAACTTAGAAGTATTTTTATATCTAACCAAAATAATATTACCCTTATTATGTGTGATACATTCTAATATTCTCTATTCTATTCTTTTCATGTTTTGTAAATGCTGCAGGCTACCCAGTAGGTTGGTTTTATAACCCACTACTGGATAGATTCTCACAGTTTGGCTATCAAAGTTATCTACGCATAAAACCTGGGTGCCGCTGGGAAGTGATAAGGGTAGTGATGGGGTTTACAGAGAGAAGAGGAAGGAATGCATAGGCACATGCTTTGTAGGGAAAATCAAAGTTACTTGGCAACTGATTGGATGTGGTGGAGTGAGAGTGGGGCCGAGGCGGCTGGTTTAGGACATTGCTACCCAAAAGCACAGTCCTGAGGACCGGAGCATCAGCGTCCCTCGGAAACTGTGAGACCTGCAGAATCTCAGCCTCACTCCAGACTTACTGAATCAGTGTCTGCATTTTAACAGGATCCCGGGGTGATTCGTATGCACATTACAGTTTCAGAGGCACTGGATCAGAGGAAGTGATTGAGTCAAAAGTCACTCCAGGATTTGAAATCAGGTTCAAAGACAAGGAAGTCAGGAGAAGAAATAACTGCTTTTGGTGGTAAAATGATTCATTTTTTGGGCAAGCTAAGCTTAAAGAATCTTAGGATATCTAAGTGGAAAATTGACCATTAGGTGGTTGCAAACCACAGGACTGTGGAAGCTGTAAGAGACTTGAGCAATGGTGCCATCAAGTCCCTTCTCTAATAGATGAGGAAACTGGGACTTGCGTGGGTAAGGCTGGTCCTGTCCTTTTCCCAAAGGCCTGTCTCCAAGCCGGGCTCTGGGTACAGCACTGCTGCCCGCCACTGGACCAATCACTGGACCCTCCTGGCTTCAGGCCCTGTGTTTAAACTCACTGTACGTCAGTCTCTTCACCAGAGCTAGATCTACAAGCAGGTTTTCCAGGATTAAAGTAGAGCTCAGACTTTAGGGCCCTATGGTATCCTTGCTGCATACTTTCTAGCAGCTGATGCCTTTAAATAACCTAGTTCAGAAATTCTAGGAAAACCGCTTGTCATGTGGCTGTCAGAATAGAGCTAGGAGAGTCTGAGGACCAATATTTATGAAGAATTTAGAAAGCCTCGAATGAAAGGCACAGAACAAATGCAAAGTACGGTATCACTTGTAAAAATCTCTCTCTTACAAGTCTCAAAGGAGATAGGGAGTCATTTGCAAAAGGAAATGTCAATATGATTGAAATGTACAAATTATCTTTCCATCAGAAGGAGATACACTTTGCAGGCAAGTTGAGAAGTGACTGGCAAGGAAGGTTGTGGAGTGAGTCAGAGACCTTTTGAAGTTGACCCTGATCAAACAGAGCTGTGGATCACTGGGAAACTCACTAGGAAAAGAATCATGTTGTTCCAAATTTGGACACTATTGAAAGAGGGAGCATTCTTATTGCTTTCCTTCTCAGGAGGATTTTTTCCTGCTTTAGTATAAATACCAGCTTGACCTTGAATCCTTGTAACCTAATCAGAGTTCAACTGTACAGGGAATTCTGTACCACCAGAATGGAGAGCATGGGACTCATTCACTCGTTCAGCAATATTTATTGAGCAATATTTATTGAACACCTAGTATGTGACTCACTCTGTTGTGAGTGCTGGAGGTACAGCAGTAAACAAACAAACAAACAAAAATGCCTGCTCTTGTATAAAATGCATTTTGGGGGAAGGGGACAGACAAACAAGAAATAAGTAAATTATTTAGTATATTGGATGGTGATAAGGGCTATGGGGAAAAAAGTAGAGCTGGGTATGAGAGATGGGGATTGTCAGATGGGGGAGGTTTGCAATTTTAAATAGAGTAATGAGGGTAATGAGGGAAGGTATCAGTGAGAAAGTGACATTTGAAAAATTGAAGGAAGTTAGGGAATGAACCATGTGTGGAAAGAGGTTTCAGGCCGAGAATAGGCAGTGCAAAGGCCCTGAGGCAGAAACACACCTTGACATATTTGAGAACAACAAGGAGCCAGTGTGATGAGAAAGAAATGAGCTAACAGTAGGAGATAAGGTTCAGGAGGTAACAGGATGGGGAACTCAGCAGGTCATCAGGGAATGGGATGGGAGAGTGAGCAAACGGCAAGGGATTAGGAACAAAAGCCTTGGACAGAGAGTAGGGCACAGATGAAAGGCATGGTATTAACTAGCACTTGTGCAGGGCTTTAAAATTGTCAGAGCTCTTTATTATACAATCTTTGTTTAAATTGTGTTCATTCTCACTAGCATCTTAGGATTAGTTTCACATGGGCTCTCTTTACCTGTAAAATTCCCCACTTTACAGGTAAAGGCAATGAAGACCTAGCTGAGTAAGGGTCCTGCTCATGACCACATACCAAGAACATCAAAGTCGGGCCTTGAACACAGGTCCCCACCTCTCTAGATTCTACCTCTCTGACTCCACTTCCCCACGTTGTCACTCTCAAAATCAAATAGCCGTCAGCTAGCTACGTGCTGGAGACACATCACACTTCTCTGGGCCTGCCTGATAAAACAGATATTTGATGTAGAGCAAGCCTATATTCAATAATTTGTGATCCTAATCAAACCACCAATATCTGTTGAATGTATTATGATAGACTCTGCAGGGATAGGCAAAGAACTATAAGAAAGGGATGCAGGATTGGACTATAAGCATGGTCTTGTTAAATGCTGGGTCAGTTGTGAAGTCAGATTTTTTTTTTTTTTTTTTTGGTGAGGAAGATTCGCCCTGAGCTAACATCCGTTGCCAATCTTCTTCTTTCTTTCTTTTTTTTCCTGCTTGAGGAAGATTAGCCCTGAGCTGACATATGTATGTTAACATTTTGTATGTGGGATGCCTCCACAGCATGGCTGATGAGTGGAGTAGACCCGTGCCTGGGATCCGAACCCTCAAACCTAGGCTGCCGAAGTGGAGTCTGCAGAACTTTAACCACTCAGCCACCGGGCTGGCCTCTGAAGTCAGATTTTTAAAAAAATTAAATAGAATAGAAAATATCAGAATTCATTTCACACAGAAGATTAAGTATTGTTTTGTGAAACTTTTGTTGTACAGATCTGGTTATATGCATATATCACTATCTATTTACCTAGAGAGAAATACATAGATGTATTTATGTACATTCTGGGTCCCAATGTAAAATGTTTTTCTTACTCTGGATCATCAACAAAAAGTTTGGAAGCTGCCTGAGTAAATTGTCACTGCCATCTCTGCATTCTAGTAGATGTTTAATAAATATTTCTTTGAATGAACGTATGGTTTCGGGTAGGAGAAGAGGAAAAAAGCAGAAGGTCAAGACTGGGGTAGTAGATGTGAAAGAATGTTTTAAAAAAGGAAAGAAAAAAGAAAAACATCATCCAGTGGTTTCCTCGTTTAGTTCCATATTCCCACTATCCTGCTTTCCCCCATCTGCAGACGGTCAATAAACCCCACTAGATGGAGTTCCTTTAAAATTAAGACCTTGTTTTATTCTCCATTATAACTCAAGCATGTAGTTGGCTATTAATACATATTTAATAAATAGATTAAAATTGTATTTCCTAGGGTTTCGCTTTTAGGTGATATCTCAGTTAAATTTTGATTTTTTCAATGACGTAAAATGTTGTCTCTCCCAGGAGTGGCTACATTTTAATAGAAAACTCCCTAAGATCAAAAGCCTTCCAAATCGAATTCTTGGTCTCCAGTGGTGAATTTCAGACATCACAAGAAACAATGAGAGAAGAAATTGTTGCCACCGGGGGCCTCCGTAACTCCTCTTAAATCATACCACCACGGAAGACAGCTATTCACGATGCTCATGTGTCCATTTCTTTGACCCGGGGAGCTGAGGCACCAGTCCCATCCTTCATCCTGTGCAGTCATTCAGTGAACAGACATTGAGCGCCTACTTGGTGCCGTCTTGACTTGGCACACGCACACTTTCCTAGTGAACTGTGACGTTAGTAAAGTCCATCACCCAACCTCTTGAATTATTTTTAGTTCAAAGAGTTGTGAGCAAAGAAAAAGGTGGGAGAACTAATATCTTGGGCTTGCAGATCTTTGGGTCATGTAGACACTCCTCAGTGTTTCTAATGAAAGCATTAGTCTGAAAATTATTTTATTTTGTTCTCCATTTTTAAATTATTTTTCATGGTTTGTATATTTTTTCTAAATTCAAATTTCAAAAGATACATTCCAGTTTCTCAGAATATCAAGGTGAGAAGATTAAAATAAAATAGCTTTTTAAGAATTTCTTGAACAGCATTTCATCGTAGTATGCTGTAATCATATGCTACATGATATATAGTATACGTGATAAAATAATATTAAGAAAAATCCTATATTTAAGAGGCAACTAATAGATATCAATGTTGTAAGGTAAATTCCAATTTTCTGTAGAATTTTGACTTCATATTGTTGGAAAATTAAAAAGGACACGTTATTCTGTTTCCTCTTTCCCTCTCTCCTTCCTTTACTTTCTCAATATATGTAATAAAGTATTATACTACCAAAGCTCCATTCCAGACGGCACAGGCAATCCAGACACTCCAGCCCATGAACCAAAGCTTGTAAGAAAAGACTGGGAAGAAGGCAATTACTCCAGAGAACACACTGAGAGCCCCCAGAGGAATGAGAATCCGGCCAGCAGCCTGGTAGAGGCTCTGCATTTTCCTCTGTGATTTGAATCCCCGCTCTCAAAGATGTTTTGTTACCAAAACACGAGGGTATGTCAGTCCTTAATAAACAGAAGTTTCTTAGTGACAGTAGCCATGACACATGTGGACTGTTGATCTACTTGGAAACAAGCTTCTATTTGTTTCACCAAAGATAATAAAATGTAATGAAATAATCCTTGACATAAACTTGATGCAGTAAATTCTAATACTAGTTTACTTCAGAGAGAGAGAGAGCAAGCATGAGAAATCATTCCTCTTTTTGGGTTACCGCCTTCATTCCCTTCATTCTGCCCTGTTGTGGGGAGTGACCACTTCCTGGCTTAATCAGATTCAAAGGCTTGCTGACTGAGCTAATTGTTTCTCAACTCAACCTGCCTGGTGGTTCCAGCATAAAGCCAACATCCTTTGTGCACAATAGATCCACATTCCCAGCACAATTTCCCACAAAACAAAGTAAAAATAAGCACTCTGATCACTTTTCATTACTTTTAATTTAAATGATTTAAAGCAAAAATGAGACCTCTCCTCTCATTCAAAGTTCAATTCTCCTACAATTATTTTTGAGTTTTTGATAAATATTTTTGATAGGGATTCATCCTCAAATAGGCATAAGCTTCATTATGGAGTTCTGCATTGTTTTTACTGAACTGGCTTCACCTTAATTATTTTATTATTGCATAATTCAATTATCAAGTAAAGGGCAAAGATGGAAATGTATGCACTTGTAAAATAAACTTTGAAGAGTAATTTATTGGTTCAATAAAATACTGATCTCTAATAATTCTTGAATAGTAATTCAAATTTTAGAGGTTGAATTTATGTACATTGAGCAATTGCAAAAGTTCATCTCTTAATTTCTCATGCGTTTGAGAAAGTGGTGATATTTGCCTTTGATTGATAGGAGGTGTTTGACTGTTTCTTCCAAGATAATAACTTGAAAACACAGAGCACTCTCTGAAGCTATCTAAATAATTTTCCTGTTCAATATTAATACCTTTTTTCTTTAATAAAATGATGAAAAATAATTTTTTTTTTTGGTGAGGAAGATTCACCCTGAGCTAACTTCTATTGCTGATCTTCCTCTTTTTTTTTTTTTCTTGAAGAAGACTGGGCCTGAGCTAACATCTGTGCCAATCTTCCTTTATTTTGTATGTGGGTCCCTGCCTCAGCAGGGCTGATGAGTGGTATAGGTCTGCTCCTGGGATACAAATCCGCAAACCCAGGCCGCTGAAGTGGAGTGTGCCAAATTCATCCACTACACCAAAGGGCCGGCCCTAAAAATAATTTTATGGGTAGAAATGTGGTGGTTTAGACCATGTATTTTGGCATCAGACAGAGCTGGGATCCTGTTCTGGTTCCTCTGCCCAAGGTGTGTGTCCTTGGGCAAGGGCAAGTTACTGCACTTTCTAGGTGTGTTTCTTCACATAGGAAATGGGAATAAAACTACCGTTTATCTCACCAGGTGGTGATTGAGAGAATTAAATGGGCCAATACACGTCAAATGCTCAGCACTGAGCTCTGCATAGCAAAGATGCTCAGTTAGTTACCTGTTATGACTCTGGGACCTTCCATCTTTGGAGTTTTTTCAGCGTGGGACAGAGGCACAGTCATTGTTATTGCTTTTATCCATCATCTTATAAACGAGAAGTTTAACTCTTCCTGATCAATTTGGTAAAAGCTCCCAAAACACCCTCTCGTGTATGGTGAGGAGAGAAGCTTCTCTCTGATTCTCTGCTTCTGTCTTTCTGTCTTTAATAGCCCTTCCACAGTGTGACCCAGATTTTGAAGCAGTTGTATTCCTAGAGATACAGAATCCAGAAAACCAGCTCAGGCCTTCTGCTATAGCGGTGATTTCCCATCTCCCCTCAACACTGTATGTTCTCTGATTCTTTTTTCTGATGCCGTTAGGTAAGTTCCACAAGGGCAGAGGTCTTGCAAGTCTTAGACGTTCGCTAGATGCATAAGACATCCCCAACACCTAGAATTGTGTCTGGGCCAGAGGACATACTTAACACACATTTGTTGAATTAATTAATTAATACATCAGACTTTCCAGCTACGCACTTGGGGCTCCATCGACCTGCCTCAGAGTAGATCTACATGTGTCCATCAACACCAGTGTGTTCCTTGTTACAGAGGGAAGGGGTCTGGACTGAAGAAAGACTTGTTTGTGTTAGCTTTTGGTTTGAGCTGTTTTGACTTTTTCCTTTACTTTTTATCTCAAGGTTATAGCTACATGGTATGTCAATATACTGTGGGTCAGATCACTCTCTCCTGTTTGCATGTTTGGAAAATAAAGACTGTTGAAATACTCATGTTAAACAGTACAAAGAGGGCAAACAAAGAGAATATTTTTTGTTTTAATTTGCAGGGGCCTTTTTAGTGTTTGTAACTCTGGCAGGCTAACCCTGACACTGCCGGTGTGACTTGTAAGCCCGAATTTCTTAGTGATTAGAAGAGTTGTTGTCACTTAGTATAACAAAGAAAAGGGCCAGAGGCAGAAGTAGAGACTTCTCTCTGTGTGTTTTCCCGGCTGCACTTTCCATGGGCATCTTTCCACACTAATTTCCTTAAAGCAAAGAAATTTTCAGGAAGGGCAGCTACTGGGAAAGAAGAGAAAATGTCATTCTGCTCCTGGCCTGGGCTTCGTCTCAGGTAGCCACGTCTCTGTGTTCCCCGTGTCCCGCACCAGCAAGGCTCACAGGGCGCCTGCGCCCTCCGGGACCCCTCCCTCCCATTTGGAACTAACTTACTGGAAGGTGGGTCTGTATCCCCAGGGCAGGTAGTGGAGTCAAGGTCTTTGCAGACCCTACCTTCCCCCTCACCCAGGGGGATCCTGACATCTTGGCTTAGGGAAGAATGTAGAAGTTCCAGTGAACTCTTCAATCCAACTTTGCCACTATATTTTTAAAAAGTACCCAAAGAAATTGATGCTTTGATTCCAACACTCACCATTCGCCCTCTGCAAAAAAAAAGAAGAAAAGAAAAAAGAAATGTACCCTGGACCACCAAGGAGGTGGCATAATGTCAGTGATGCTGAGGGAGAGAAGCCGATTTAGACATTCTTTCCCTCTATAGACACATGCCTTCACATGTGAGCTCTAGAAATGGCAGCTCTGTGTGTGTTAGAGTCTTGGGATTTTTTTGAAAGTAGGTTTCAAAGCTACAGAAGGGGTAGCTTTTGCCAAGATAAAAGAAAATGGAGCTCTAAACAAGAGATGAAATTAATATGCTTATTTTCCCAGCAGATGGCTAGCTTCATTTGTTTACACATTAGAGGTAGCTCCTGTAGCAGAAAAAGCATGAACTTTGGCATCAGAAAGACCTGGGTTTGATACTGAGGATTCTATCTGACATAGACAAAAGGAATGAGACAATTGGAAAATTAACACTCTGCTACCCCAGTGCAGATTCAAGAACAATGGAAAAGGACACCTTTACAATGGCAAATATGGCAGTCCCCTCCTTAATCAAGTTGTCCGACTGTGTATCACCATTATCGGGACAGACTGACATCATTGCCTCCTGATATGATGCAGTGGAAGCACAGACCATCACCTGTGTCATGGGAATCTAATTGCAAAGAAAAGACAAAGTCCTTTGTAAAAGACACTTTACAAAGGACTAGCCTGGATGCCTCAAAATTGTCCATGTCATGAAAGATAATAAAAAGGTTACTGGGACAATTGGGGAAATTTAAATATGGAGTTTACGTTAGGTGATACTAGTATATCACTGTGAAGTATCTTGCGTGTGTGAATGCCATTATAGTCAAACAAGAGAATGTCCTATTGGTGAAACTAGGTAAGTTAGTGTTCCTTATGCTTTCTTTCAGCTTTTCTGTAGGTTTGAAAATTTCAAATTAAAAGGTGGGAGAACAAAAGGGAAAAAAAGATTTAGCTTTATTAACTGCACAAAATGAAAGGCCTAACTTTTACTCAGACATACAACCATGCTGGCTCAATAATCCTTGAGAATATTGATGAATGTAGGTCACAGTGTAAGGAATGTGAGGCAGGAGATGCTCTGTGCCCCTTTAGCACTGAGACAGAACCTGTCTTCCCAGAATAGTAATGATGGAACAGGAGTGTTAGGTTATCCTCTGAAGACATACCATTCATGCATTCACGACGATGGGTATCTTTTATATACTTTTTTGCCTTTCCAAATTTTCCAGTTTCTTAACTAGATTAAAAATCTTTCCAATCCTCATTCATAATGCATATTTCCCTCTGCTTTTTACTAGCCATTCAACTTCAACTTTGAGTGAACCCTCTCTTCTCAGATGGCTTGGGGTTTAAGGAGAGCAAAGTTCAATTTTTATCATCCCTAACTGGGAACTGTCAAATTGAAAGCCTTCCAATCTTCAAGATGTTTGGACCTAAATAGAGATTGGTGCATCAACTTGTACTTACCTAATTCAGATTTTATCTGCCTTTTGTATGTCTGACCCTCAAATGTGTTTTGAAATCATCTGGAATTTATCAGAATTTTCCCATGTTTTTGCAGAGCAAAACAACTTAAGTGTGTCACCGGCAAACTTGTGCGGCTAGCTGTCAGTTCGCTGTCCCAAGCCTTGCAGCTGTAAAGACATGCTCTTATTGGCAGACTTGACCTCGCCAGGCAGCCTCCCACAGGCTACTGTGGAGATCGTCTGTCTTTTGGAGAGGCTGCCCCTATCTCGCTTTATCATGCAGATGGAGCAGCCACAGATGGAACTGCGATCGTGACAGCGATCGTGATAGATTGGTGCTTTGGCCACCAAGGAGAGGGCAAGAAACTAAGAAAACAGGAAGAGAGAAACAGTGGGGGTGTCTGGGGAAGAGAGGTGGAGAAAAGATGGAGAGGAAAGGACAACAAGAGAAGAGTCAGAACATAGAGGAAAACATTCCTGAAGCCAAAAACAGCGTCTTGCGTCACTCACAGATCCAAAGCCTTGGTCTGGACAGAGTTGATTTCAGGACAGGGGAGCGTTGGAAGCCATTGGCCAT